CGAACCCGCGGGCTCAGGCAATCCACTCACTTCAGCCTCCCAAAGGCGCGGGATTACAGACTGAGCCACCGAGCCTGGCTATGACAACTTTTAAAAACAGGAGTATAAACGGGCACTGACAAGACATATCGGCGCTGAGTCGTGTCCCAGGCTTACGTCGTTTAGCCTTGCCTTTATACAGCACTGTGTGTCCTAATCCCTGAAGTATGAGTTCTGTATTCATACAACCTTGCACTGTTTATCAACCAAGTTTTAGGCCTTGAGCTTGCTTAAAGTAGGAACCCTTCTGGGGGAAGGGCTGGCACTTCATATTCCTGGTCGCTGATATGCCCTTTCGCCTGTCCCCTCTTCAAGGGACAACTCTTTTAGGACTGAGACCATCTCCTCCAGGAAAAATTCTGCTTCTGGGACCTTCCCCCTCAGGGTAGAAACTGCACCTTGTCCTAGGAGACATATGTCTGAGCATTTGTAACAGAGATGACATGCTTTCTACCGACATGCAGTGTGAAAGGCTTGGTAGGATGTTTTATGTCAAGCAAGGCATCCCATAAACTCTTTCATTTTTTTAATTCCACATTTCTTTGGGGCGTCTGCATTTTTGTATAAGAAACTTTCTGAGGTATGGCTTTTCTTTGAAGTGCTACCCGAGGTATTTTCCCACCAACTCTGGCATACACACGCACGGAGACAGATGCACAGACATGCACAGCACACCCAAGATGCTCTGGTTGCATTTTGAGTCTGTTGAGACACCAAATGTGCTCTTCCCAGGATGACACAATGGCCCTTATGGGCACCGAGATCACGAGTGTAGGAAAAGTTCCACTTCCACTTTTCCCCAGTGAATAAGCAGCTGTAGCTGGGAACGTATCTGGAGTTAGGCATTCCAAGTGAAGCAGCATGAAGAGTGAGCCGGCACCGCACCAGTCGCAGCGCGTCACCTCCGCCGTTGCTTTGCTGTTTTGTAGCAGAGCGAACGCTCACCTGCACTAGCCTCGGCGGGGCCGGCTGACACCTGGGCACGGAGGTGCTTTCGGATAGATCCGAGAAGCCAGAATGGGAAGACCCACGCTCCCTGCAGCGCTGGCTGCCGGGATGCGGCTTCAAGGTGTGTGGTGGCTCACGGGCTCAGGACGAGAGGCCGCGTGCACCTGGGCCTGACGCGAAGTGGGACGGGGACCAGAAGGCCGCGGGAAACCGAGGCAGCGGCCTTCGGGCCCTGGCCGTGCGGCGTGACGGCGCTCGCCGCGGATGGGGACACGCTTCTGCCGCGCTGGCGCTTCCTCTCTCCCACGGCTTGTCTCCCAGACGCCGCCAGCACCAGAGAAGTGGCCTCTGGAGCCCCGCTGTGACTCCTCACGGTGTCCGCAGGGCAGGGTCAGTTTCCTGGAGCGGGAGCCAGGCTGGGTCGCGGCCGGCGCAAGCCCCGGCTGCACGCCCAGCCTGTTGATTGGCTGCCTCGGGTCAGGTGTCCGCCTGCCGTCCAATCGGTGGTCGAGCGCTTGTGTTGGGGGCGGGGCGCCTACAGGCTCCGGGGTCGACCTCGGTTGCAGCTTCTGCCCAGGGAAGGTGCGCAGTGCACCCTGCGAGACCTGCCGCGGTGCGGGCGTGCCCTGCTTGGCCCAGGAGGTCGAGGCTGCGGTGTCGCGCCACTGCATTCCAGTCAGGGCGACAGAGTGAGACCCCCGACTCAAAAGGACAAACCAGAACAACACAGAGTGAGGAGTCGCAAGACTGCAAGGGAAGCGGGCCAGCCCAGTCTGCCACCCAGGAGTCGATGCCAGACCCTGACAATGGTTATCTGCTTCCTGAGCGACACCACGCGTCAGAGGAAGACCCAGGCCACAGGAGCAGGTGCAGGAACCCCAAACCAAGCCATATAAATAGTTGCAGGGGCCCCTGACCAAGCCATGAAAATAGGTGCAGGGCTACAGAGCAAGCCACAGAAGCAGATGCAGGGGCCCCAAACCATGCCATGGAAATAGGTGCAGAGGTGATGAATCAAGCCACAGAAATAGGTGCAGGGGCCTCAGACCAAGCCACGGAAATAGTTGCAGGGGTCACAGACCAAGCCATGGAAATAGGTATAGGGTCCACGAACCAAGTCACGGAAATAGGTGCAGGTGCCCTGGACCAAGCCACAGAAATAGGTGCAGGGGCCACGGAGCAAGCCATGGGAATAGATACCATGGCCTCAGACCAAGCCATGGAAATAGTTGCAGGGACCATGGACCAATCCATGGAAATAGGTGCCAGGACCATGGACTAATCCACAGAAATAGGTGCAGGGGCCGTGGAGTGAACTGTGGAAATAGGTGCAGGACCAAGACCTAAGTGTGTTCCCTCTGCATCAAGGCTTTCCCCTCTCTAGGGGATCAGACTCTTCAACAGTCAAACACACGGTGTTTTCTTCCAAACTGAGAAGTTTCCTCTCTTGACCCCATTTCTCCTTCCAATAACTACTACATTTTGCCTCAAAACTTAATAAAATTGTCCATATTCTGTCTGTTTTTCTTCCCATCTGTACTTTCTCTCCTAACTTTGTATTATGGAGACATTTCAAGCCTTATTCAAGTAGAGAGAACAGTACAACGAGCCTTTCTGTTCCTGCCCCTCCAACTTCAACATTATCAACACATGGCTAGGTGGGGCACAGTGGCTCACACCTATAATCCAGCACTTTGGGAGGCTAAGGTGAGAGAATTGCCTGAAAACCCAGGAGTTTGAGACCAGCCTGGGCAACTTGGCAAGACATGTAGTCCCAGCTGCTTGGGAGGCTGATGCAGGAGGATCGCTTAAGCCCAGAAGGTTGAGGCTGTGGTGGCCGTGAGCGTGCCACTGCACTCCGGCCTGGATAACAGAGTGAGACTCCGACTAAAAAAAAAAACCAAAAAAACCCCAAATGAAAAATAACACAAAGAACCAGAAGTCCTTCTTGTTATCAGCTTCCCCCTCGCCCACTAAAAGCCAAATCCCTCTGTGGGATCTGGGCACCATAACATGGCTCACCTCTCCTTCCTTCTCTTTCACCCTCTGCTCCCCATCTTGACCCCACATCTGCCGAGTACCTGCCTATGGACCGGGCAAACACACCCTCCCTCTGCTGGGAGCACCCGTCTTCAAACACCCTCATGGTGGCCTTCACCTCCTCCAGCTCGGGTCTGACGTGCCACCCTTCCAGTGAGGTGACCTCGGTGCCTTTATGTCTCTGCCTTCCAGGCCCCACTCCCCTCTGTACGTCCCTGTCCTATGTCCTCTCCTCCCCAGCACTTCCACCTGGCGTGTCGACCTCCGACCCACTGTGGGCTCCATGGGTCAGAAGTGTCACAAGTCTCCATGAAGCAGCGTTGGCAATTGGCCTGTGGCAGGAGCCTGCTGGCCATTGTCCAGTATTTGTTGTTGGCAGCCTTTTGCTGTCAATGGCTAACATTTAACAACCCTCTATGATGTGCCAGGGACACGAAGGTGAGAGAGAAGCCTCCAGTGGACTCACTCACCCTGCTGGACAAACAGAGACCAAAGTCATACTGCTGACAAGCACTGCTTTTTGACAAAACTTCACTGTAAAAAATTTACTGTGCTTAATTTTTTTTTTAAGTGACAAAGTCTCATTATGTTGCCCAGGCTGGACTTGAACTGCTGGCCCCAAGCAATTCTCCTGCCTCGGCCTCCCCAGTTGTTGGGATTACAGGTGTGAGCCATCACACTGGCTTACTGTGTGTGTGTGTGTGTGTGTGTGTGTGTGTGTGTGTGTATTCACGTGCTTAGGTGTCCATTAAGAAAGGTCTAATAGTTCACAACAAACAAATGAGAGAAACGTTCAGCCTCCCTAGACCTAGAAATTGGTATAGAAGCCAAGCATGGTTTGAGCATGCCTATAAAACCTGAACTGTCAAGAAGTGAGACCTGTGAGGTGCTTCCTGGTGCCCAGCACCGAATCCACGTGCAAACACGGTGGCAGTGGCAGGCAGTATTTGGGAGGACAGAACAGATGGTGTCTCTGTTCTCCAGCTAAAGTGACTTGCCTATGACCTGGCCCTGTGGGGCTCCCTGAGGGCCCTCGTGCCTCGGTGATACCTGCCACTTCCTGACTGCAGTGTCTTTGTGAGGACTTGTAGGACAAATTCCCCACAGGCGGCGATGCTCCAGGTGGGACACTGAGGCTGACTCTGGAGTTAAGGATTCAGAAGACCTGGGTGGAAATAGAAGCCCTTTTACATAAATACAGCTGTCAAAATGTGAGCCTTAAGGTGTTGATGTGCACTGTTTGTAAGTGGCTGTGGAAATGTGGTGTTTTGATCCGCGTGCAGAATGTGTAGTGACTGTGTCAGGGTGTTCAGGATGTCTGTCACCGCAGACGTTTGTCACCTCTGTGTGCTGGGAACATTTCACATCTTGTCCTCTTGCTCTTTGAAATCGACCATACACTGTTGCTCTCTGCAGTCGCCCTCCATGCTGTCCAGCACCAGAACTGATCCCTCCATCCAACCAGGTGCTTCTACCCACTGACCAGGCCCTCCCACCCCCCATGGGCCTCTGGCGTCCACCTCCCTTCACCTCTGCGTTCTCCTTCCTAGCTCCCCATGAGTCTTTCGAGATATTTATTGGCTATTGAAAAGGGACTGGGGGGGGGGACTCAGGTTGGCTCTGGGTGAGGAGGGGTAACAGGTGCCTTTCTTGGTGTGTTTCCTCCAGCGGACTCATTGGCCGGAGCTGGGCCATGCTGTTTGCCAGTGGGGGCTTCACGGTGAGACTCTATGATGTGGAACAGCAGCAGATCGCAGGCGCCCTGGAGAGCATCAGGTGGGCCAGCCGGAGGGGGGACATGCCGCGTCTCTCGGGGGTCTTGGGGTCTTGGGCTTGACGCCGCCCCGGCTGGGATCTCCCATTTCGTGTGATGGTGGTGGCCGCCCTGAGTTGGCAGAGGCCAGGCAAGGTGGCCGGAGCCTGAGCTGGGCCTGCAGAGGGCCTCCTGGCATGGGGACGGGCCCCTTGGGCTGGGAGGCTGGGAGGTGGGCATGGGATGTGACTCCAGGGCTGAGGACTGAGTGAGCCTCTTGTTCCATGGGCGGGCCTAGGGTTCCCACTTGCACCTGGCAGGTTGTGCCCTCCCATGTGGCAACCAGGGCCACGCGGGTCACCTCCAGGAAAAGGGTCCCTTTGCTTTGACCTCTGACCCAGTGGTGGCCACCCCAGCCTAAAGCCTCCCAAATCTCAGTTAGAGCTCAGCCCTCGTGGGACGGACCCAACGGGACTATTTGTGCGCTGGTGACAGTGACAGATGTGCCGGTGACAGGTGTGGAGCAGAGGAGCCCACCATGTGCTGGGTGCTGGGAATGCTGAGGGCTGAGCTCCAGGGGTGGTGGCTGGGGCAGGGGGGAAAAGCAGGGACTGAGGAGGAGGCGGGAGGGAGGCCGGAGATGAAGCAGCCGAAGGGTGCAGGTGCCAGGAGGCTGGAGCACCCACCACGTGGCCGACCTGTGATGGCCGTGCCAGCGTGCTGACCATCTCATCACAGGTTTGCTGACCATTGCGACCCTTCATGGAGGGTATCCACGGATACATAGTTGCTTTTTTGTGTAACATCATTACACATCATTTTCTTTTTTTTTTTTTTTTTTTGAG